CCCCAGTTGGCAATCAGCCGCTGGTGTCCCCCCCGTCACCCATGGCTTAGTTTCACTTCCATTGTTCTTATAATTTCTCCACTCTGCACTGAAGACACAGACTAAATCGCACGAATGTTGACAGTCCTCCAATGCCTTCCCACAATCTCCCACATATGCCCGAAGAGAGATTTTTTGGTTTTGTTCTTCCAGAATTCCCCGAGAAAGAATACTCGAGTGGCTCAGGTTCCTGCAGCACCGAGCAGCAGGGGACATGTCCCCAGGGCTCCTAAAGGCATAGTGAGGAGAAGACAGGTACAGAGAGAAGCTGCAGGGGTATGTGCCCTCAGAAAGCCCACAGCAGAGGGCTACCTGCCAGGAACTGCTTCCCCTCCCCACAGACAAGTTTCACAGATGCCCTTTGCTGTCCCAAGTCCCAGGAGGCATAAGAAATGGAGGACACCATCCAATACTGGAGCTCAAAGGAAGATACACTCCATCCTTGTAGTAAGCTGGACTCGATCATGACCAGGGTGAAGGAAAACCCAAATCTCTGTAGAGAAGCTGAAGGGCCCTGAAGGCTTTCGCTGCTTCCAGCTCCCCATCCCTGCCTTTTCCACCTGGTGTCTTACTGCTGGCTTGCCCTGGTCCCTGGTGATAACTGGCTTCTGCTCTGCCTGTGTCTGCTGGATTAATGAACCCTCTGCTACCCAAAATCTCCCCTAGCTACCTCTTAATGGTCTCTGTGGCTGCTTGCCTCTGTCACTGTAAGCCACATTTTCCAAATCTTGAATTCTCCTTATAATGATTCTGATTGCTTTTCAACTCCTTTGCTGAAACATGACAGCCAGCCTGGATGCAATACCCTGATTCAGTACAGTATGGTCACAACACAAAGGTGGGAGCACCTTTTCCTCGACATCATCCCCCTTTCATGAATCCCAAGAGCTCATTAGTTCTCACAGCTCTAGGGTCCCATGTTCTCCTGGTTTCTCTCATGACACCCGAGTCCCTTCAAGGGTCACTACTGCCCATAGTTGACACTCCATCCTGGAAACATGGCCTTGCTCCTAGATGCAAACCTTTAACTGATTGCACTCAGTTTAGTGAATAACCTAGACCACAGGGTGTTACTGATGCCCCCAGCCTGTCTTGTCTGCAAACCTTATCAGGAGGGACTGTGAGGGACTGACCATGTCGTGGTAGATGCAAGAGGGCTGCACATGCAGAAACCAGCCCAGCCTATACCTGTGTGAACCCAATGCATAACATGAGCCTGCAGGAGAGAGAACCCCCTGGGAAAAGCAAAGTCCAAAGCCACAAGGAAGGAACCATGAACCTTCCCACCAATGCCAGAGCATTGGTGCCAGTGTATGTGCAAGGGCTGGGGAGCTTCAGGGAGGGCCTAGGAGCCCAACTGGAGCAATGGGTCACACCCACCAGTCTCCCGGTCCTGTGCTTCCTCAATGCATCAAACACCACGTATCTGGGTCCATGAAGGCAGTTTTCCTTAAGCATTCCCTGGGAAAACTGTTCTCGTGGCATGGTTTAGTACTCGCCAAGGTGTTGGGGCTTAAAGCCCATTTTATGGAAATGGGAGGCTCCTCCCTAGCTTGCTTCTACAGCCATATGGCTGAGGGCAGGCGAAACTTAGGGGCGTCCAAACCCCAAACCTCCGGGCTTGGGTCTGCACATAGGATGCCTGCCAAAAAACTTTGAAAATATCTGAAGCCCCTGGTGGGGGTGGAGGATGTTTGCCAGTTGTAGGGCCACCTATGGTTCCGGACTGACTCGCGGATTTGTACTTGATTTGGCAGATTTGGCTTGGAATATGAACAATTTCTTTAAAAAAAAAATCCTGCTCCCCTGGTGCTCTCATTCCTGATCTTCAGCCCCTGCTTCCCCAGTCGCGAGACATGCAATGTTGTCTCAAAACCCCTCAGGTCCATTTTGGGGATCCAAAATACTGACAAGAAGATAAATAGCCTTCGCAAAAGGCATTAGGGATGATGAAGAAACTCACCCCGGATCTGTGTGCAGAGAACTCACGTGCACAAGAGAAGGTGAAGTCCACAGAATGAACTGTACAGATGCACAGAGACCAGTGCCCTGAGCAGCCAGCTGAGGGCTGTGCGTCCTGTGCTGAGTCTAGACACATTCATGCTGAAATGGGGGAGTCTGGAATAAAATGGGGAGGGGGGAGGGAGTTGGGGAACCTTTCTTCAATCCAACCTCTACTGCCCTGAGACACAGATTCCCAAGCAGAACCTTTCAAATTCCAGGGGGCTCTTCCCTCTCTGTCTGCCTGTCTGTCTCTCCCTCCCCCAAGCACACACACACACACACACACACACACACACACATGCTCACACCCCACCAGCAGGTACAAATTGGCACGTACTAGGCAGGATGGTTTTGTATCTGTCCTTTGAGGCTCGTCCGGGGATGTCTAACTCTTCTGGGTTGACAAAGTTGGGTGGGATTTTCTGTGGAGGCAAAGGTGACCATCAGTGACATCACTTCTCCTGCATGTGGCTTTCTCCATTCATCTGGCTGGACCAGGCTTGGAGAATGCTATATCCCCTTCAGCAGGTCAGACATTGCAGCCACCCTCCATGCACCAAGCCGCATTTTTCATAGTGTCCCAAGAAAGGGCTTGTTGGGAAAGAGATTCTCCTTGCCCAGGCACTGGAAGCCTTGACCAGGCAATGGAAGGGCAAAGCTGTTCCATCTCATGCCTGGAGCTCCTGAGAAGGAACTGGGGCAAGAGCTTTGTTCCTGTTTCCCCAAGAAAGGATCACCTGGAACAGCCACATGGTGAGTGCCTGGTGGATGGAGAGTGCCGGCAGCAACAATACCAGGCACAGAGCTGAAGAGACCTCAGGACCTTGTGCTCCTCCCCTTTCCAAGCACAGCACAGCAGAAGCCCTGTGGTGCCGGCTGGCCTTACTTCTCTGCCAAACCCCAGGAGGAGCTACCTCCAGGGGAAGGAGAGCAGCTCTGGTACCACAGCACACTGCTGAGGCAGCCAGGAGACCTTTGAGACAAGAATCTCAGACCCAAAGGTCACCCTTCCAGCTCCAGGTTGCAGCAGGGGACCAGACGGCTCTATCCTGACACCAACCACTGAGTCACCCAGGCCCACCCTCATGCCCATGGCCACACAACCAAAGTTATGCAAGGGCCTGTGTGATCACAGGGAGGGGAGAGACGGGAGGAGATTGGGTGGGGAGACCAAGGGCATCAGATACGGCCATAGGGGATGCCTCACCGAGAACTCCTCCTGGAGCTGTGTGAGGTTCTTGGCTTGATGTGGGAGCTCCTCTTTGGTCAGAATGTGGCTGGACGTCCTCAGGAACCGCAGCGTGATGTCCCGTGGGGTGCAGACCCGTTGGATTGGCTCCACGCTCCCCAGCGAGCTCATGTCCAGCATCAGCGACACATTGGAGCCTCTCCTGCAAAGCAAAGTGGTGTGTCACAAGTTAGTCGTGGCACTGCTCTTCCGTGCCTGGGGCTGTGTTAAAGGAAAGGTGGAGGTGCAAGGAGCAGAGTCCTGGATGGGACATTGTGGGACACATGGAGGTCGATGGGGTGATGGGAGGGTGCTGGCTGGAATGACAAGTGTGGGGCAGGGCTGAGGGTGTGTGTGTTGCACATAAGCTTGAGATTATTACTGAACTGGGTATTTTTTATGCCTGGGGCAAAGATAACAAGCAGCAACCTCAGACCAAGAGAACCTCAAGTCTCAGACCCTCAAAGCAAGAAGTGGTTGAGGCTATGCCCTGGTGCCAAACGTAAGTTTTTAAGGGAGGTCAGGACTGAGAGGCCCTGGCAGCCCCAAGGGGAGAAGCAGCCCCAGACTAGACTATCAGAAGCATGTGGACTGGGATTCAGGGGCATGGCCAGAGTGGTGACTGGGAGAGGAGCCCACGGCTGGAACAAGGGTGCTGAGCTGAGATGAAGGTCTCTAGCAGAGCTGAACACTGGACGGCTGCACTGCCCTGCTACATTCAGCCTGCCCAAGCCAGCTCTCCTTTCAAGAGCAATATGTTCCTCTAATCTTACTCCCCATTTAAGATGACTAAGGCCAATTGGCCTTCTGTCCTGGGTGACCTCTGGACAGTGCTGCTCAGAGGTGATAACCACACAGCTCCTGTCCCACCTGGCAGGGACGCCAAGTGCAGCAGTGCCCAGTGTCTCCTCCCACCCCAGCCCAGCACCCATGACCTTCAGCAAACAAGGAGTTTGGGAAGGGACCAAAACTCAGTGACATTGACTCAAATCCAGTGATCTATTTGGGTAGAAAAAGATAAGGTGGAGAGGGGAATAATTTGTAAATGTTTCATTTAAACATTGACTTCAACAAAAAAGAGATGCATTTTTTTTTTTTAAAGTAATGATTAAATGACTTCACAAGGCACAAAAATGTCTTCTTCTGGGTCACGGATGTTTGGGGGCGGCCTAAAATGAGACATCCTCTGTTCTTTCATTAGGAAAATCTTTGTCCACATGCCTCACCGCAAAGCCCAAAGATTCTGTTTCAGTCTGACTGGACTTCGGGCTGCTGCTGACTTCTCAGTTCAGCTGGAGAGTCTGTGAGCTGTTCGCCGGGGGCCGGCACAGACCTCCGTGCTGGGGGCTGAGGCACTGGCGGAGCCCTGGGGCAGGGAAGGAGGAGTGGGTCTGTGCTGGAAATGGTAGAGATGCTGCAGGAGGAGGAAAACAGCCTCTTCCATGTGCTGAGCCCAGCTGGGTGCACTTACTGGATGCCCTTGGGGATTTTAGGGCCTTAGAGCTGGAATCAGTTGATTGCGCAGCACAGATGAGGCTCTCTCCTCCTTGAGGCTGACATAAGGGGCTCTGTCTGGGTGCAGTGCTCTGAGCCTGCAGGCATAGATGGGGATAGGGGCCAGGGCCATACGACCCATCACAGCCTGGCTGCTGCTCACCTCTCCTGGAGACGCACATGCTTCTTGGCAGAGGAGCTGGGAGTGCCAGCTTTGTCCATCGCTCCCCTGGCTGCCCGGCCTGGCTGGTTTGTGCTATGAACTCTGGAGCATGCCGAGCAGGCCTGTACCATGCTGTGCCAGAGATAGAGCCCTTGCACTGAGGTAGAGAGGGTGTCAGTGGGTGGCCTGAGGCTCCAAGGGGATCAGAGAGCCATCAGGGTGAAGGCATCTGGAAAACACCAAGAAAAAACTGCCAGGGTGGCTCAGACAGGTGCCTGTTCAGCGCTCTTCCCTTTCTATGACTGGCGTCCGCTCAGTGCCTCCACGGTAGCTGGTAGACAAATGCCCCAGCATCAGCCCATCCAGCGGAGCTGAGCTCTCCCACATGGTGGGGGCACAGGGCCCAAAGGATCTGCAAGCACTGAGCACACCCCTGAGCACGGGGGTGAGGATGGCAACAGACCCCTGTGCACAGTAGGGGCTGGGGTTGGTCCTATGCTCAGCTGCTGGTGCCCAGCCCAACCCCTGCGCTCTGGGATGTGAGTGGCCTGCATGGGAACGCACACAAGCTCACACCCAGGACCTTTGCCCAGCAAACCTCCTCCAGGACCAAGCTGCTTCCAGGATATCCTGAGGCTTTGCTACTTGCCCTCAGGCTCTTGGTCCTGCTGGATGCTATATATTTAACCCCTCCTGCGGGGCTCATGGCACTGCATGCCTGTGACCAGTTTTCCATGGGAACTGTGCTTATGGCATCTCAAAAGCATGATCCAGTACTGATGCCAACTCTGTGCAGTCACAGAGCCAAACAAAATACATTTAGGTCACAGAGGTCCTATACTGTGGGTGTCTTTGTTTTTGAAGCCCAATTTAAGACATGCTTTCTAGAAAGGCTGAGAACCCCTGCCTCAGACATCATCGGGGGCCCCAGGCATGCAGCACCCTCATCTGGGCTCACAGGAACAAGCCACAGACTCAGCACCAAGCTTTTTATCTTGCCCCAGTAGATCAGAATAGCAACCCTGAGAGTGGCCTGTGGGGCAGGGCAAGGCAGCTGGGGTGTGAAGCTGTTAGGGAGTGCCTAATGGCCCTGTGAATCTGCTCTCTGTCCCTACAGCACCCTCCAGGGAGGGGAAGCTCTGCTTGCCCTGCTCCAGGTGGATCCCTTGGGCACATGCCCTGGGTGTCACTGGCACTTGTGAGACACTGAAGCTTTGTGGGGCTGTCACTGCCCTGTAGACCATCAATCCTCACAATGAAGCTGAGCGGGGTACAACCAGGGACCAGGGCAAGCCAGCAGTAAGACACAGGTGACTGTGTGACTGGAGCAACTATCATTTGGACCTGACAGGAGGGGAAAAAACAGTCCTATGCATAACTGCCTTGCCCAGATTCACCTTCAGGCGGGCCTCTGTCCTAGCCCGACCCAGAGGAGCCCAGCTCCAGCAGTACACAGCGGGCGCCTCTCCTTCTGCCCCACGGCATGGCTCCTTCACCCGCACGGCTCCCATCACTGGAGCTGCTGCATCCCCACATGAGTCTGAGTGACCCCTGCCCATTCCTGGCCCACTCCCCTTCCACCCATGCCGACAGCTCATGCTCCTTGCTAAATCTTACTTCAGCTCTCACTTTTCTGCCAATCCATGTCTTTGCCTGGGCATCTTCTCTGCTGGGGCAAGTGAGCATAGCGCTACCTGAGCCAAAAGAAGTGCATAGTGACCCCAGCTGGGGACTGGGTCCTTCCCCCACCCTCTCCAGAAGCACTGGCAGGTGGCCTGCACATGAGAGACTTGCAGGAGGGCGGGTATTAGCTGGAGCCAAGGGCAGTGCCAGCCACCCCCTCCCTTCTGCTAGGGGGAAAGACAAAAGACAGGGAAGGCACAGGTCCGGCAGGAGAGAGGGCTGCAGGCAGGTATCAGGAGAGACCTTTCCTTAGCATTTTCAGCGCTCTGCCTACCTGAGCAATGGGCCCAGGGGGTGCTTCCCTCAGCCCAGGTTGGCCCAACATCACCAGCCTCTCTGGCCTGACCCTGATCCGTCCTCTGTGCAGACACTGCAGCCCCGGTGAGAGGGAACCGGCCCAGACAGATTCCACCCCCACTTCACTCCCCTCCCCCTGCTGCCACCACCCCCGCTGCAACCTCCGACCGTTGGGAGGAAGCTGGCTTAACCGAGCAGTTGAGCAAGAGGCTGTGCTGTGGGGGCTGGCGGGCTTGGGGAGCAGCGCACAACCCCAGCAGAGCCTTGCGGGGCGACCAAAGGGTAACGGAGGGTCCATTGTTCGAGGGCATGGGACGTTCCTGCGCAGACTGCATGGAGTCAGGGCTGCCCAGCTCCCAGGATGGCTGAGCTCTGGGGGGCAGAAACCAGGGGAGGCAGCACTATGTCTTTGCCTACATGGGAAAGAGGCACCAGTTTAACGTAGGCCTGGTGTGTAGCTTTTGTCCTGGGATAACTGGTCAATGCCATCACTACACTGCTATGGACATGCTTATACTGTGATAAAGGGAGGGACTTGCTCCACCAGTATAAACAAGTGCACAGCTGTATTGCTTTTGCTCAGCCAGGCTACTTGTAGCTGGATGGGTGCTGTGCTCAGACAGGCCTTAAGGATGGTTTATCTGCAGCCAACCCCTGCACGGAGTCTGTCTATGGCTTAAAGCAGGGAGGGGGCTGCCTTGATTTCACTGAAGCAGTCTGAAAACTGCTTGCAACTAAACTGCTGTGGCTTTCCCATGAGGACAAAGCTGGTACCCCTCTCTCCCTTTTAACCAGCCCGTCAGGTTTGGGGGCTGGCCGTCTCCAGGATTTCGTGCTGCAGCTGCCTTACAGCAGTTTCACACACTGAAATAGTAGCAAAGCGGGCAAGGAGCCAGCAACGAAATCTCAAAGGAGGTAAAGAGTTGGTGGCTGGAAAGAGAAGAGGGGCTGAGAGCTAGAGTGAGGGTGGGAGGTCCGTCTCCTCCTCTCATTGTATGGATCCTGAAGTTGATCCTGGCTCTCAGAGGAGGCCCACCCAGGTCCCTCTCTTTGCTGGACTTCTAAACAAGCTCTCCAAAGGCTCAGATGTCATTAGAAAACAAATCCCAGTTTCACCGTAACCAGCTACCGGCCAAGCTCTCCTGCTCATTGGGCCCCAGATCCAGGCCCCACAAGGTCCTGGCTCCTTTTCATCCCTCTGTTGAAGTCACACCGAGGGCCGTGCTGGCTTGGCTGAGCCTTAGCATCTCCACGCTGAATAGAGTCCAGAAAGGCAACACTCGGGGTGGGGTTTGGAGCATGCCATATTGCAATGCATGGGACTGTGGCACAGCTAAGGGGTGAGAGGGTGCTGAGATGGACCCATCTACAAAGCCCAGGGGGTCATGAGACTGGGGTTGGGACCAGTCACTGCTGCGAAGACTGATTCCCTATTACTGTGGCTATGGGACCAGAAGAGCTGTGTCGAGCCCAATGTGCTGCATGACTCCAGGGGAGACGTGAGGAGTTCTGTGATGCAATGTCTTGGGCGGCAAGGGAAAAGGGATTCTCCTCTGCCCTTTCTCCCTTTCCCCCCACAGGAGCTTGCGCTGGGCTGTTCGAGGGACCTCAGCGGCAGGCGGGGTTGGGTGCAGGGAGTGGCTGCTTCCCTGAGGCCAGCCCCAAGATAGTCATCTCCCCACACACCAGCCAGGAAGCCCCTGGAGGTACCAGCCAGCACACACCTTGGCAGCTCCCGGCGGGCAGCAGGAGGTGGGACTCTCTCTGACTCTGCCAGAGCCTCTGTCTTGGTCATTTGGGTTCCCAGCCTGTGGCACCTGCGCCACCTTGTCCTGCTCCCCAGGAAGCTCCCGACACGCAGACGTGACTCAGATCCCTGCTGTCTCCCCACACGGCTGCAGCACGGAGTCCTGCAGTGGCGCTACACACCCCATGCCCAGCTGTGCCCCTTGCCAAGCATTTGGGCTGCCTGGTCTCTAAGGAGTCCGTGAGTTGGTCTGAGATGCCCTCTGTGCTTCCCGGGCCCCCGCATGCTTACCTGGTGCCCTGAGCTGGCCAGTCGCCATAGCACCCCGGCACTAGGGTGGTAAGTGATGCATGCGTGGGTCTAGCACTAGGGTTTGAAAGTGTTCAGGAAGCTGCTTATCAAGGAGCTCGCTGCCTCGGCTGCTTCCTCTCCCTCCTTCTCCCCCCACCCTCCCTGCCGCCCACGCACATACCGGCCACAGCCTCTGCAGCTCTGCTCCGCAGGGCCGTCCTCAGCAGCCAGGCCCACGCCCCCCGAGGTGAACTTGCTCCCCTGCCCCAGGTGCGTCCAGGACCTGCAGACCCTTCCCGTGCCCACCCTCAGAGCCAGGCAGAGCAGAGCAGAGCCTGATTGCTGGAGCAGGGCATGCTGGCAGCACCAGGGCGATTTTGGCAGAGCTTGGGACTCACCAGGGCCTTGTTTGCAGCGCTTGCCCCAGCAAGATTTTTTTGAGGCCACTGTCCTTTCCCAGGGGAGGGCGGTGAGTGGGGCTGGCCACCCCTGGTGGACCTGTCGTGGCCAAGGTCTGGGCCCTGGAGCACATGGATCAAGACTCAGAATGGCACAAGTTTGGGTCTTGCAAACCTACTGCTTCATGTGCTGTAGCATTGCCAGGCTAGTGCACACCTGAAGACACCTGCCCTGTGCCTCCACGTTGCCCATCAAAGGGTATGCCCAGCCTCCCCCCTCCCCCACATGTTATGGCAACACTTGTCTAGTGGGGTACCTGGCCATGCCTATTCCTGGACTGTGGCACTGCCTCTCTGGGGCAGCCCCACCATGCCTGCACTGGGGCTGTGGCACTCCCCAGGGGGTGAATCTGGCCACCCCACTCTGTGCCATGGCACGGGCATTGTAGGGGGTCTCTGGAGGTAGCCACCATGGTGCTGTGACACTGGCTTCAGGTACTACATGGCCTGTGCCCACTGTGCACTGTAGGGCTATATATATCGATATATATATATATATATCCTACACTGTAGGCACTGTATATATATATATATATATCAATATATATTGTAAGAT